GCAGGAGGGGAAGACCCTCTATGAGATGGATTGATTTGGTGACTGGGGTAATCAGGATGGGTGTGTCAGAGGCGGTGCGGTTGGCGCAGGATAGAGCAGGGTTTAGGGCTGTTGTGCATAAGGGCCGCTATGAGTCGGAAACGACTCGACGGCACACAACAACAACAACAACAACTGAGTTGGAGCCCTCAAGTATGGAAACACAAAAGAGAAGAACAGTTGTAAGCAGACACTAGTGATAGGAACATGGGATGTGAGAACCATGAATGTAGGAAAATTACTCTGGGTATGTTGGAAGGTGGGACCAGTCCTTAGAGAGGGACATCATGCTTGGGAGGGTAGAGGGACAGTATAATAGAGGAAGATCCTTGATGATATGGAGTGATTCAGTGACTGGAGTAATGGGGGTTGGTGTGTCGGAGACTGTGAGATTGACACAGAATAGAGCAGGGTTTAGAGCTGTTGTACATAGGGTCGCTATGAGTTGTAGGCAACTTGACGGCAATAACTACAACAACATAACAAATATATCAAACTAAAAAATAAAAATAAATATGAAAGTATACCAAACTACTGTTAAAGGAAATTCCAAATGCCTAATGGTGATATACAGATATCCTTGTATATCTGTATATTATAAGTGTTTGATTTTATTTACTGTGAGTTTTTTAAGGAAGATTAATTACCATATTGCCCATTTTTCTTCACACTCACATAGAGTTCTGTATACATTTATTTATTTTCAAAATTTAAAAAAAAAACACCTTTTATTGGATGTGCTGTCTAAATGAAATGTCTCATGGACAATCCAAAACAAGTATTTTTGGAGAAAACAAATATATTTTCAGAACCATTTCTCAAAATTTAAGGTACACCCACCTTTTTTACCTAGAAATTTTACTTCTAACAATCCTACTTCTCCAAGAAATGGTTCTAAAAATGCACAGAATCTCTATACGAATCTCTTACTCCATCATTATTGATAAAGGAAAAAACAAACAACAAAAAAATCCACAAAGGAAACTACATTTTCAAATTTTATTTACTAATATTTTGATACATTCATTTAATAAAATACTGTGCCTGAATAACAAAACATGAGCTGAAGTGGAAGGATGTTGACACTTGGTTAAGAGGAAAAGGAGCTCCAGAACAGTTTGCACCACACATTTCCTTTTGTGTAGAGAACAGAGCCCTTGTGCGCATATTAAACCAACTGTTTACAGTAATGACTTTTAGGGGGGCAGTTCAGCAAACTGAGGGAACAGAGAAAAACTGATATTTCTAAAATGTTTGTATTGTTTACAACTAATATGGATACTTCTACAAGGAGAGTTAGGGTGGATGACTTAAACACTCAGCTGCTCACCATAAGGCCAGCTGTTGGAACCCACCACACAGCTTCTCCAGAGAAAGATCTGATAATTGGCTCCCAGAAAGATTGCTGTTGTTATGTGCCATAAAGTAAACTAAGATCCATAGTGACCCCATGTGGAATAGCTCAGAACCTTGCTCTATTCTGTGCCAACCTCACTGTCTCTGACATGCTTATCCTCATTACCTAAGTTATTGTGTCAGTCCATCTAATCTGAGGTTTTCTTCTGTGATGTCCCTTGAAATTTCCAAGCATGATATCTTCCAAAGATTGGTCACTCGTATGCCCAAAGTATGTGAGACAGAATTTCAAAATCCTTGCCTCCAAGGAGCAGCTTGGTTTTACCCTCTCTAGGACAGACTTATTAATTCTCTTGGAAGTCCATGGTATCTTTAATACTTTCTCTAGCATCATATAACTCAAAAACATCAATTCTTCTTCTGTCATCCTTAATCATTGTCCAGCTCTCTGATGCAAAGCAGGTAATTGCGAAGATTGTGGCCTGGATCAGATGCACCTTAGTGTTTAGAATGACATTTCTACTCTGTCATAGGAGTTCAGGATGAGTTGAAATCAATTTGATGATATCTAACAACAACACATCTATAGTAAATATTGTACTCACTTAGAACTGAAGGAATAAAACTTTACTCTTAGGTCTATCTGTTCTTTAATGTTCTCACAGTAAAATTTCAAACCATAATACCAACTTTTAAAAAATATGCTACATTGCCATTTTTAAGAATATCTTGAACTCAAAATGAGTCTATAGTAACAAATTGACTTTTTAAGAAGTACTTAATAGAATTTTAAAACTTAGTGTCTGGAATTAGGGTTTCAGAGTGGAGTATACTTGGGGTGGGGTTTGGGGTGGGGGTGTGCAGGGTGGGGGAATTGTGTAACAATGAAGGAGTTTTTCTTTTGCTTTTCAAGGAAAGGAGAGAACTGGGGTGGGGGTGGGCTGGGTGGGGAGAAAAGTGTACAATGAATGTATGGAATTAAAAAAAATAAAAAAAGAGAGGAAGAACTTTGAGGAAATGGATTGATTAAGTGATGAGGGTAGGTGTTGTCATAGACAATAAGGTTGACACAAGATAGAGCAAGTTTCAGAGCTGTTGTACATGGGCTTGCTATGAGTCACAAGCAACTCAACAGTACATAACAATGCATGAGAATGTATGAAACACAATGTGAATGAAGGATAGTGTGAAACACAATGTATACAAATTTGGAAGGAAGCCAATAAAAAATGATAAAATTTTAAAAAAGAGAAAAAAAACTTAGTAGATTGTGCTATTTTAACTTTGTTGTCTCAATTTTCAGCAATGTCTTCAATGATCAGAAATCAAGAAAAAAGGATACAGAAAGTGAAAGACCAGGAAAAAATGTTACTGAAATGATACATTGCCTATTCTTTGCAGAGGACTGATGCCGAGTTAATTGTGATGTTACTTTTAAAAATTAGTGCCATGTGTGCTATTTTTTCTTTTTATTTCAAAGTTTAATAAAAAATATCCTGTCCTGTATTTCTGTTTTGAACTAAACTGTTCTTTAATGTTCTCACAGTAAAATTTCAAACCATAAAAGCCAGATTTTCCAAGTCTTCATGTTTTATAAAGAAGAGCCCTAGTGACACAGCAGCCACTAGGTTGCTAAACACTGTGACACTAATGTGTCAAATGCAATAATGGTTACCCATGGTGGACAGTGTTTGGTGGAGCTTCCCGATTAAAACAAGCTTGGAAGAAGGAGTGGCATCCACTTCCAAAATAGCTTGCCTCTGGAAACCCTAGGAACATAGAGAAACAATGAAAGTAATACAAGTCTTTAGGTCTTTCGTTCATAGGGTTGCCATGAGTCGTCTATGACTGATGGCACTTAACAACAGTTACACAATATGGTTCAAAATCAGGAAGAGATGTATTCTCTCTCCATACCTTTTCAATCGATATGCAGAACATATCATCTAGGAGGCTAGGCTATATGAGGAGGAATGTGGCATCAGGATTAAAGGAAAATAATCAACAACCTGTGTTATGCAAGTGACACAACCCTGCTTGCTGAAACTGAGGAGGACATGAATCACTTGCTGCAGAAGAAGATAAAGGGCTGCAGCCTTCAATATGAATTGGAGCTCAACATCAAGAAAACAAAGGTTCTTACCACTGGGCCAATTGGCAGCACCATGATAGATGGTGAAGAGACTGATATTGTTAATAGCTTTAGTTTGCTTGGCTCCACAGTCAGCACTCTTAGTACCAGCAGCTAGAAAATCAGGAGACAAATTGCATTGGGAAAGTCGGCTGTCATGGACCTCTCCAGAGTACTGAAGAGCAATGACATCAGTCTAGAGACTAGGGTGTGCCTGATCCAGGCCTTAGTCTTTGCAATTGTGTCCTATCTGTCAGAGAACTGGACAATGACTAGGGAGATAGAAAAAGAATTGATGTTTTGAGCTGTGGTGCTGAAGAAGAGTGTTGAATATACCATGGACTGCCAGGAGAACAAACATGTTTGTCCTTGGTGGAAAGGATTCTGAGGCTTTTTGTCTGCCATACTTTGGGCATGTTAGAAGGAGGGATCAAACCTTGGAGAGGGACATCATACTTGGAAGGGGTGGAGGGACGGAGAAAGAGAGGGATACCATCGATGAGATGGACTGATTCAGTGACTGGGGTAATGAGGGTAGGTGTGTCAGAGACAGTTAAGTTGGCACAGGATAGAGCAGGTTTTAGTGCTGTTATACATAGGATCGCTATGAGTTGCAAGCAAATCAATGGCACATAACAACAACAGTGACACAGTGATTAAAATTGAAATTTGATGGCTTGAACCCACCACTGGCTCGTTGGGAGAAAGATGTGGCAGTCTGCTCCTGTAAAAATCACAGCCTGGGAAATTGTATAGGGCAGTTCTCTCTCCTATAGGGAGTGTGTGGGAATCAGCTCATCAGCAGTGGATTTCTTTAAGATGCTATTAAAAACAATGTGTTGGAATGATTGTGCATTTTCATTATTTTCACTGGTTCAGAGAGTACAAAATGTTACCTTTTTAAAAAAAAACACATAGAAATCTTGTAGGTGAGTAGCCTTTCACATGAGAATTAAATGTGGTCTAGTGCTAAGGACAGAAGAATGAACAAGGACTCCATTTTGTGATCCTGAGTTCACTGTTTATTCAGTGAAGGAAGAAAAACAAAACCTTAAGTCAGAAAATGCCCTCTTTTAACAGACTAAATATGAGGGAGGTGGAAATCAAGTACTCTTCAACAGGTGAGTAATTTTCTAAATAGATTCATTCTGGCTTAATTAGATAGTAGTGAATTAGCATTTTTAAGTTAAGGGGAAATTCACAAGGTTAACTTACAGTTAACCATTTAAAAGTGTACAATTCAGTCGATACTTAGTATATTCATGATATTGTGTAATCAAAATTCATCTCTAGTTTCAAAACTTTGTCATCCTGAAAATATATTTTATATCCTTGAGGTGGTCATACCCATGTCCTCTTCCTCCCTCCCCTGGTAGCCACAAATCTGTTTTCTATAAATTTGCCTAATCTGCTTGCATTTAAAATGTTGTTGTTGTTGTTATGTGCCATTGAGTTGCTTGTGACTCATAGCGACCCTATGTACAACAGCCCTAAACTCTGCTCTGTCCTGTGCCAATCACACCGTCTCTGACACTCCCATCCCGATTATCCCAGTCACTGAATCAATCCACCTCATAGAGGGCCTTCCCCTCCTGCGCCGTCCCTCCACTCTCCCAAGCATGATGTCCCTCTCCAAGGACCGGTCTCTCCTCACTACATGTCCGAAGTATGTTAGATGGAGCCTCAGAATCCTTGCCTCCAAGTAGCCACCCGGTTGTACATAGGGTTTTCAGAGGCCTGCTATTTCAGAAGTGGATGGCCAATCCTCTTCCTAGTCTGTCTTAATGTGAATGAAGTATCAGACAGACCAGCAAGTTAAAGGTATATCCCTTATTGTGGAGTTAACCATTAGTGTCAGTGTTGTCCCTGCCTTTGGCACATGTATCTTTACCCACTTATTTCCCTGCTCCACCATCCACCAGGATACCTATCCACTTCTACCCACTCCCTTCACATCTATTTCGCATTGACCAGCCCTTGATCTAACAGCTTATATATGAAGCTTCCTTGGCTTCTGTGATTTCAAACACATCAGCTGCTCGTAGTTCCTTAAGTTGGAACCAATGTCTCTGAAGTTTAGTCGTAATGTTTCCTGAGCAAAGGTGATGCATCCTGTAGAACTGGTGTGTAGATAGGTTTTCCGCATTTAAAATAGGGGGTTTTTTTTAATGTGAACCAAATAGAATGAGACAAAAAGAAATATAAAAATGTTTCAATTATGACAGAAATACCAGAGATAATGTGTTCAAAGATAAAAATTGTGTTCTACTTTCTTTTTTCTAAAACATTGTAAGTTTTGACTCAAAGCAACCCTAAGAAAACAAACAGATTCATCCTTGAGAGGGTTAAACTGGGCTGTTCCTTGGAGGCAAAGGTTAGGAGGCTTCGTCTGACATACTTTGGTCATGTTGTGAGGAGAGACCGGTCCTTGGAGAAGGACATCATGCTTGGGAGGGTGGAGGGACGGCGCAGGAGGGGAAGGAGGTGTATTGATTCAGTGACTGGGGTAATCGGGATGGGTATGTCAGAGACAGTGAGATTGGCACAGGACAAAGCAGAATTTAGGGCTGTTGTACATAGGGTCGCTATGAGTTGCAAGCGACTCGACAGCACATAGCAACAACAACAGCAAAACATTTTAAGTTTTGACTCAAAGCAACCCATGTAACACAATAGAACTCCCACATACGGTTTTCTAGGCTGTAGGGTTCGCCCTGCAATCTTTTATTGTGATTTAGGTGAAACTTTACAGAGCAACTCAAGTTTTCCATAGAATAGCACATTTTATTTCATGATATGTAATAGCACTCACCCTACTTCTCCCTGTGTTTCCCATTTCCATTTATACTTTCCTAATCTACTACACTGGAAATTAAAAGAAGAGGCAGAAATTAAAAGGGTTGCATTCATAGTTAAAAAGACTATTTCTAGATCCTTCTTGAAATATAATGTTGTGAGCAACATTACACATATAAGGAGGACGTGTTAATACCACTGTTATTCAGATGTATGCACCAATAACCAGAGCCAAAGAGGAGGAAATAGATGATTTCCACCAACTTATGCAGTCAGAATTCAATTAAACTAAGATACATTAATAATACTAGGTGACTGTCCAGTATAAGTTGGGAACAGGGAAGAAGGATCAGTAGTTGGGAACTATTGACTGGGTCACAGAAATGAGGCTGGAGATAGAATGATGGAATTTTGTACAATAATGATTTATTCATTGCAAATACCTTTTATAAGAAACAGAAACGGCAAGTAAACATGGATTTTATCTGATGGACTGACTACACAGGAATCAGATTGAATACATCTATGGGGGAAAAAATCACTGGAGAAGCTCAAAATCAGCTGTGAAAACGAGGCAAGGTGGTGATTGTGGAACAAATCATCAGCTGCTTATATGAAAGTTCAGACTGAAGCTAAAGAAAATGAAATTCCTAAGAACTAAAGTTTGACCTTGAGTCTATCGCAACTGAATTTAAAAACCATCTCAGGAACAAGTTTGAGGCCTTGAACACTAATGAGCGAAGACTAGATGAGATTTGGAGTGTATCAACCATATGACCCAGGGGTAATATGGAGGTGTTTCTGGCAGGCCCCTGCAGCTGAAGACCAGGATAAGAGGTCCTTTCTTGAATGCCTGTCCTGGTGCCACCATGGCAGCAACTGCCATAGGAAAAAAAAGAGCACTGCTCTGAAGCCATTATATATCACACTCTTAGGTCAAAATAAACTATATGCCTGGCACCTCTAGCTTCATCAAAGACAACTAAAATAATTTGGTCCTACTTTGAGATGGAAGGATATTTACCAGCTTTTAAAGAAGCATTGATCTAAAAAATAGAAAACAACAGTTGGTGTCAAGTCAGGTAATGCTTTTTTCCCCTAAAAGCTTTGTTTTATATTTTTCATTTATTTATTGGGAATGGTTTTCAAAGAGCACTCTTGGTTCTGTTTAGGTGTTTTTTGGGGGAAGCCCTCTTTTCCCCCCTCCCCATTGAAGAGGTTGTTGAAAACTTGAGTGCTGATTTTTAGGAAGAAGTTACTGAGAATAGTCAAATGAAGGGTGGAGACCTCCCAGGCCTTCCTGTTATTGCAGAGAAAAGAGCAGAAAGGAGAAGCCTTGAAATCATGGAATGTTGGTCATTTCAATTTTTTATACCAATATAAAATTCTGGTTAATGTATTTACTTCATTGTTAAGTATTCTCTGAGGGTACCTTTGTATGTTGCTTTAGACC